GCGAAAATACAATAAATTAAGCCTGAGATAGGGGTTGGGAAGACAGCCGAGTGAAAATTTGGTTCTTGTAAGCAAGCACCAACAGGGAAAACCGGGAAAGCAACAACTGAAGCTCACCCCAAATTACCCCTGAGGCTGCGGATATTCCACTGTAAATAGGCCATGATTGGCGATGAAGAAAATACCGGGGAATCTGTAGGTAAACGCACCTACGGACTAGAGGGGTTAGAAAAGTCAACGTGTGGTGGAAATTGGAAACGTTCAAGTACGAAGGAACGGAGCGTTGCGAAGAATTGGGGTTGTTGAAGATGGAGGAGAGGGAAGAGAAGGAACAGGAAGTGAATCAGTGTCCTTTGACAGGTTTAGTCTCTGCAATATATTCTGAAATGCTTCAAGTGTTTCTGAATTCAAAGAGTATGGGAGACCATATTGGAGATAAAGAGGAGGGTGAGTAAAGATTGGGACAGTTAATGGACTGTACCAAAGTAAGGGGGAGGGAAGAGTGTAAGGGACTGGAGATGAAGTGTGGGGGGGGAACAGAAGAGGCAGAAACCTGGGAGGTGGCAGAAGAGGGAGAAACTTTGGGGGGGGAAACGGGGGTGGAAGGCAAAGTATGAGGGGGGTGAATTTCCACACTTGTAATAGAGCCAGAGAGAGGGAAGAACTAGGTACAGAGACTGGAAAGGTAAAGTGTGGAGGTGGAAGAAGGGAAGGAAGGGGCAAAGAAGATTTGAGCAATGTGGATTTTTTTGGACTTTGAGAAGTAGAGGGTGATTGGTATTAGGTGTCGTACGGGGTCTTGTCGATACTGGGGCTTGTGAGGAAGGACGCGAAGATGTGAGAACAGACTGAGTTGTAGTCGGGACGTCAAGCCAAGGACAGCAAAAGGATTAGATGCCAGAGTGGCTATGGGAGGGGTAACAACAGAGGGGGCTGCAGAAGATGGGACCCCAGAAGTGGGGGATGTTTGAAACACGAAATAAGAAACACGGGGTAGTCTCCCTGGGGGGGAGATGAGTAACTGCCATAGCATAAGGAGCCCTTTCTGCCTCTTCGAGGCAACAGTTTTCCCCACGTTCATTTAAGTAGACCTGGCAACTGCGGGAGTACGAAGGGTGAGCTTCATTACAATTAAGGCAAGATGGGGGTTGACTGCAAGATGTATTAGAATGGTCGTTCGGCACCACAGACTGGGCATTCGGCCATAGATCTGCAATATTTCGCTGGGTGACCAAAACACCAAAATTTCTACATTGTTGCGGTGTAGTATCACCTTTCGAACTTGTAACCGATGTCCCGCGACATATACAGAGGAGGGGAGTTCTCGGCTGTCAAAAGTTAAACGAGCCACATTGCAAGGGTAACGTTCTCCGCCCCGGGCAGGGAGGACATAATGTCTACTTTGAGGATTGGGAGATCCTGGAGTTCCACTTTTCAAAAAAGTCATTGCCACATGACGGGAAATTCTATGGACTATGGTAGGGGGCAGAATGACAGTACCAACTACAAGAATTGAGAGAAAGATGTTTTTTCAATAGTGATAGGAGTAGAATCGATATTCAAAAGGGAGAGAAAGATCATGAG